AAAATTTAATTTATTGAAATATTTAATTTATTAAAATATTTAATTTATTGAAATATTTAATTTATATAAGAAACAACCTCGGACGATTCCTTTCGTCAAATGGCTGTTCTAATGAAAGAACGGGATTATGATCCACCACTTGATTGACAGAATCTATCCGTCGCGGAAGGGGTTTGTCTTCTTGCTCATTTTTTGGTATATCGATATATCGAAATATCGAAGTAAATCGCGATTAAATAGACCAAGTACGAAGCAATGCATGTAACGTAGATCACGTTATATGCTTTATTTGGACGAAATCGGGTAAATTAATGCCCGATTTCATTACTAATATCGCGAGGAAAGACGGAGAGAAAAAAAGTGCTAATTAATAGCACTGTTAATTAAACGACTTTGAAACAAGAAGACCCTAGCCTGACATCTATATAATAATAATAAAAAATTCACAAGAAAAGAGCTAACTACACATGTAGGGAACCACTCGTGAATAAAATCAAAGATTTTAATCACGGCCACTTATGCTCGTTTTGGACAATAAGACATTTACGAATACAACCAGTAACCCGTGCCGATATGGACCTTTCATCCTCGGCATGATGGGCACCAGAGGAACTTAAAATTTTTCACTTACTTCTTAAGAAGTTCTGCGATGGCTCCAAAACACTCGTCCCCCTCGACGTAGGTCGAATGATGTCGTGAAGTTGGTTGAAATTATTGTTGAAACGTTGAATCGTTGATTCGTTGAAAGGTTGAATCGTTGATTCGTTGAAACGTTGAATCGTTGATTCGTTGAAACGTTGAATCGTTGATTAATCTGTAATTAAAAAGAGTCACAGACGTTTAATTATATGCTCCATATCAATGGAATACGTTCAATGAATGAAAATGATTGAAAAATATGATTTAAACGATGAACGAGAAGTAATGATTAGAATAAAGAAATGTACTAACGTGTGATTGTATCCAGACGAAGCTTTACATTCGTCGATAAAGATGATGAGGATGAACTTTTATATTCACATTTTCGACCAGTACAATATTTTTCGCAACGCAATCCTCTTCCACCGAAATTGGCCGAAAGTGTGTTAATGATTCTAACAACACGGCGAACAAATAGTTTTAACAAGAATATGAAATAAATTCTTGTTTTTTGATTGACTAACACGACCGAAAATTTTCAATCGGCGAACAACACTGACTCTAATTCGCGATTTTATATTATTTTTAAAGCAACCAATACGGCTGCAAAACAAATTACTTCGCACAAGCACTGACTCTAAGATCGCATTGCTCGCGATCGCAACTGAAGACCTGTTAAATAAAAATGGTTAAAGCAAGCTATGACATTTATAATTCTACAATTTATATAATATTGAAAATCGTATTATTCAAGTCCCATGGTCTAAAATCGTAAAATCGAACTACTATCTTTTATATGTATTAATACTAAAAAGGAAAAAAAAACAAAGGAAAACATTCAAATGATGTAACTGCGAAATTTATAACCTATATTAAAATAAATAAAGAAAAAACAAACGATAACAATCGCGTTGCATCTATCGTTTAAAAATAGATATGATCGCGATAGGGATATGCTTATAGAAGTATATTAATTGCGTGGATACCTATAAATTGAAATAGATATAGCATTAAGGTAAAACTAGACAAGGAGCAATAAAATGAAATTATGATATTTATGATATTGATTGAACGATTAAACGTATCTTGAAATTATATTCTATATTAATTAAACGCGTATTTCATTAATCTCTATACTTTTTAATACTCTTTAAAATTCATTAAAACATGTTTGAAAAAAATGTTCTAATGCATCGAACGTCAGCCATTGGCTCAGCAGTGCATACGTTGCATAATGTAAAATACATAAACGTATGCAATACCGATTACCGGATCTCACCACTTGGAGGTAGCTGCGTATGGAGATCCATGTTTAAATTTATTAAGAAAAATAGAAAATGTTATATAATAAATAACCTTTTATCAGTTGAAATTTAGTTTAATATTTTTTGAAGATGAATTTACTTATCTATATGCGAAGAGCAGTAGAAAATATGTCACAGTTGCTGTCGAATGCGTCGGTCTTCACTAATTAGTTGAATACGATGGATAGCAACCTGAAAAAATTCAAGAGTATTATTAATATTTCATGAAATGAAGTGTATTTATATATATGAATATGTATATCTATATATATATGCATATATATATATATATATATACATATAATATGTAATGTGACTGCATATTCAATACATAAATGATATATATACTGAAATCTAATATGATATAAAATAGTATATATATAATGTTTAATGTGATCTGCATATTCAATATATAAAAGCTATATATATTGAAATCTAATATGATATAAAATAGTATTAATTAACAGAATTAATAAATCAAACTTATAAAACGTTTTAATGAAAAGTTAGACGACTCGGAGTTAACCTAGCAGGAGCAAATTTTAATACGTCTAGACAGCTACGTGTATCAATGAGAACTACACGAGCGAAAGTAGGGAAGAATGAGAGAAGTCGTGACAAGGACGATCTCTCGATCGTCCTCTGTTTCGTTTACATAGGCTTCTCTCAAGGTCTCTTTGTTTTGTTGTTCGTCGGAGACTATTCATTGTCAAGGATGTTTCGAGAATTGATGTTGGGAAACTAAAGTTATTATCTACATCCTAATGTTATCTTTCTTTATTAAGAATCTCGCTATGTGCGTATATAAGTAAATAGACTTACGTGTGCCTGTACGATGATTACGTCATTCCTAGGGTAGCGTAGTTTTTTCGCTGCGTAGTTTGTAGGTTCCTTAAAAGACTGAAAAATGTTAGATCGATATTAATACAATATAAAATTAATTATATGCGTGTGTGTATGTATGTAAGAGATATCGATATGTATATGTAAGAGAGATATCGATATGTATATGTAAGAGAGATATCTATATGCATATATATGTTACGTGTGGAGTGTACTTATATACATATATATATATATATATATATATATATATATATATATATAAATCGTATATAAGACGAAATACATCTAATACAATTAATCAATGCAAAGATTATTAATTAGAACATAGTTAGAAGACGAGAAAATTATCGATATCGCGAAAATCAAACTGGGAAATACCAAAAACATGCATGACGTCATAGCTCCGTGGATGAAGCCAAGATGCAAATTTTATTTTTGCGAATATCTTTTAAATGCGAAGATGGCCCGACTTGCAAACATTCACACGTGGAAATTGCATTTTCGCCAATCGATTGGTATATAAAATATGGGTGTAGGTTAGAAAAAATATATTAATTACCTGTAAATAATGGGACGACAGATCTTTCGTCAACACACGACCACAGGTGAATTCAAAATGGCGGAGTCATTAGCAGAAAGGAGACCACAGTGGTCCCACGCATGCGCAGTGAACCGCTTACGCAATGGCCACCTGCAAAACTTTCGATTTTTCGATTTATTATGCGAACATATCGAAACAATAAAAATATGATATATGAACTTAAAAATTGTCAAAATGAATACTTTATTATTTCAAACTATGATAATTAATCATTATAAGTCGATACTTATAGAAACAGCGCTGAAAATATGAAAAAAGTGGGAAGGAAAATATTCACGAACACGCTTGCGATTGTTTTCTATGCGAGTATCGTTTATTTTCGATACAATTACGACTCGTTAATATTGTCACTTGGAAATCATTTATTTTGCGAGTCGATTGGTATATTAGAAGATCCTGTATGTTAAAAAATATATTAATTATCTGTAATTAATATTATGACAAAGATCTTTAGCGTATAGAAAGAGCCTTGATTATTTGCATAGAATTGATCGATATATTAGACACGGAACTATATATGAATTAATTTATTATTAATCGATAGCGTGAGGTTAAATAAGTATTTTTCTTACTTCTTTATTCAAATCAATTTTCGTTCTCTACAAAAGAAAGGCACACACATACACACGAGCATGTCGTCACACGTACGTAGCTTTCTTTCTTCTTGACATCGTGAGTCAAATCAGATACAATAATTTATACATTAAGTGACAAAATAATTCGGTTTTATTTCTCTGTTCGTTGTATACGTTTTTCGCAAATATTATGAAAAGAGAATAATTAGGATAATTTGTAACGATACATATTTAGAAATAATTAATGAAGTATTTAAATAAGTTATTATGACTCGAGAGTAGTCGTTAACGTTCGGCCGGTCTTTCTCTTTCTCTCGAAAAAAGTTGCAGTGAAACGTATGAGACAAATGAATAAAATTTTTGGTGAGAAGAAAGAAGATCTCCGTCCAAATGTTCGAATGTTACTGATCTATATAAAGTGGCCTAATGATTTACATAACTTATTGGCAAAATCCTGATTTCTATGCAAAGGTAAGCGACAAAATTCTTTTGCTCTTACAAAGACACTGCGTACATGCATACGAGTATGACGATGGAAAATGTTTCTAGAAATTTGTTTCTATATATAAGTCTATATATGTTTCTTGCCTATATATATATATATATATATATATATATATACATGTATATATGTATCTGGATATATATGCATGCATTCTTAGAAAGGTCCTTTCTTCTTATTCCAATCAGGTTCGTAGATAATGTATTTTATTTTTTCCGAAAAGAAACGCATAGTATTGAGACAAGAAATATGGACAATATATTTTCTGTTATAGATTCATTGTCACAAAGCAGAAAAATCTTATATTCACGGTGTTCATACCTAAAGAAAAAACATCGTGTGTCATCTCTCGAAACGCCAGCAGTTTTGTCGTAGCAAAATTAATAATTTAATTCCTGCTCGATAATGTATACACATTTACGCACTACATTAATTTGATTTGAATTATTTAATTACGAATCATTTCGAATTATTTCGAAAGATACAACAGAATTTTACTTTATTTACGTATTTAACGTCATCATTAATTCGTAGCAAAATTTTATTATAATTGGTAATTGCAATATAGGTTATTAGATATTACAATAATTATATGACATCAGGTAATGCATAATAATATATTTTTTATTGATTATGATAGCTTTGATCAAGTTTTATTACATTAATTCGTGACAAATTAATACACCTTGTAATATTAAGTTTTTTATTCTCTTTTTTAGAAACGAGAAAATATATATATATATATACATAACGTTCGTGTCGGCTAAATTGGCTATTTAGTTTCTTGCAAATTGGCTAATAAACTTGGCTAATGTCTCGAGACAGGTAGTCTTATTTCTTTCTTCTCTTTATAAATCGACTTTTATGTCGTCGTTAGATTGTTTAACATCGATCTAGCGATTCGATTTCATCTCAAATGTTTTTCATTTGTTTATACAGACAAATTGTCGTATTCTAGAATTACTTAAAAAAAACAAAAGTGTTTCTTCGAGTTTTATGAAAATGAGTATGTAGATTTATTGTTTTATATATTTTGATTGTTCCATAACCAAAAAAGAATAAATATATATATATATATATATATTATAAATATGTATATATACACATACACATATGTATATATTTACAGGTACATGTTATGCAAATATTAGAAGCGTGAAAAAGCGTGGTATCGTACGTGTAATCGAGGTAGGCGAACCAACGAGAGAAAATCCAGGGAAAGCTCGGGACTATGTGCCGTGGACTAAAGCGATACCAGCGATAAAAATTGTAATTAATCACTCGTTACGTGTCCTGAGCACGCGCGAGCTCGCTCGCTATGAGCATAAATTATCGTTGGCATGGCGATTTAAGCCGGCTTAATAGGTACTCGATAAAAAATGTGATCCCATTGCCTTCTACTACTTTCTCTACTATGTTCAGTATCGAAAGTTAGAAAGAAAGAGGTAAGCTTTAAAAAAAATTTATATTCAAAAACGATATGTTAGATGCCGGTATATGCTTTTTCTATCAAAATGGTAGCAAACTATTTGTCATTAAATTCAGGATTTTTTTCTTTTTTCTTCTAATACACACTTACACAGATATATATATTTCGATCGATCTAATCGTAAATAAACGTCGGCGATACAATCAGGTATTTCATTCATATCGAAGATGGGCAATTTTTCATTGATCAGTTTTCAGAGAGCATGGAATCTCGTCGAAATATTATTAATTGGTATATTCGCATTTCGATTGGAAAGAGAGACGTGATAATTTTTTGTTTCATTGAAATTCCCATTGCTGTGATTTTAAATCTGGTCGAGCTGCGTAAATGGTTGGAATCTATGCGTGGAAAATGTCAGTCTGTATTTACCGATTCGAATGCACTAGTTAACTTCTGTCTCTCTCTCTCTCTCTCTTTATATTTTCCAGAAGGTCGTGGCAAGCTCTATATCTTTTAAATACTCTCCATTGAAATCTTGCATCGCCTCCGGGGAATACTAGTTGAATAATAATTTGAGGGTTTCATCGTCGTCGTCGTCGTCGTCGTGGTGGTTGTTCCCGTGTCAGTAGAGTAGTTTTGCATTTTGGAGGACTGCAAAGATGAGTTAGAAAGGGTTAGGCGAGATAGATAGATAGAGAGAGAAAGAGAGAGAAAGAGAGAGACATGAGATTTTTACGAAAGTTTCGAGCGTTAAATCGTTTCTACGCTTTTTCGAGTTCCATCGTTTCACACCAACACATAGATGATACCCATCGGAACATCCAATGTGCATCCAGCAACGCTTCGAAGCTTGTAGAGAAAGAGAGGGAAAGAGAGAGAGAGAGAGAAGGAGGGAGGGCAAGTGAGAGGGAGAGGGTGAAATGGCTTTTAGTTGGCAAGCAGTGGTTTTATACCGGTCGTACTTTCAACCCTTTCGTCGTCGTACCTGCGAAATTTTATTTCGATGCAAGCTGGATATTTTTTGTTTCTCTTTTTTACTTGTTCTCTTTCTCTTTCTGTCTCTTTTGTTTTTGTTATTATTTAATTGTTTTATTTTCATTTCGCTAAAAATCAATATCACTCTTAAGGAAATTGTATTGTTTTTTTTTTCTTTTTTTTCTTTTTTTTTTTTCTTAAAGCAATCAAGATCAAATTTATATTATCAGCACCATCGTTAAATTTACGATTGAATTGTAATACATAAATATATTAGATAGGATAAAGTTGTAGCTTTAAAAATAAATATTGTTTAGTTATTCCGATTTCATTCATGAGCTTTTCTACCATTTTCTTGAACGAATAGGATTGCAAAATATTTCTCCCAAAACTTTATTTTTATTTTTATCGGGAAATAGATATTCTCTAGGAGGAAATATTTATTTTTCTTTTTTTAGCATAAAAGAAAATACAGATAATCTATATTCTATGTAATACTTTTTAGTACTCGATTGTTTCTCGTTTCTCATTTTACCGATCTTTTTTTTCTTTTTTTTACTTCCATTTTTTTCTTTTCTCTTTTTTTTTTTTGCATCGGACTCTACTTGCATCCTTACGTTCTTTGACGTGTACGGTTCTCTTAATTAAGAAAAAGGGGTTATGCACCGTCTCTTCCTCTCCTCTCTTTCTCTCCCTCTTTGTGTTAATCCAAGCGACATTTTCTATATGCCTATATATATTCGTATACATACATATATATATACATACATACATATATCATAAAAATGTGTAACCACCACACGAATTTTATTTCTTTCTTTCTTTCTTTTCCATCCGCAAGTCTACCTCCACTAGCACCGTCTTTTGTCATTTCCTGTTTGTAAAAGCAAAAACGTAGGCAGCTTTATCCTCGTGCTACGTTAGAAGAAAACGAACGATGATTTCTTTTATTCTACTTCGCGTTTCTAACGCGCCATTATGTCTATGCAAAACTTTCAACGTGGCTGACCTCGCCCTCTCTTTCTTTCCTTTTTCAGCAACTCCCTGACTATTTCTTTGGTTTTCTCTCTTTCTCTTATGTACGCACATACACGCGCGCACATATATATAGACTCTCGATTTCCTCTTCTGTGGGAGCTCGATGCCCATATTGTGTGAATCCTTTGCGGCGAGTACGAGTACCATCGTTCATTGTGGTTGCGTAATAAACGTTGAACTCGTTGCGGAGAACAAACCCTCCGCACGGAAGCAACGTTTCTATTACGTTCGTAGTCGTCGTGGTAAATCGAAATCAAACCCTCCTATCGAAATGCATCGTCATCGAACGATTTTCCTAAAACAAGCCAATGAATTACATGTTAACAGGTTATTCGTCTCACACTACGTTAAATCTTCGAATTAGATCGATTGTAACATGCGTGTGTGTGTGTGCGTGCGTGTGTGGATGGGTGGGTGTTTGTAGATGAGAAATTATAAAAGAAAATTGTCTTCGAATTTAGCAAATAATTGTTAAAAGTATTTATCAACCATTATGCTTGTTGAAGCGTCGATAAAATCTGTATCGTAATTGAAAGATTTTTGAATCTAGAAAATGCATATAATATGAAGGTCAAAGGTAAAACGCAAAGGGCAGTCAGGGACAATTTATCATCCCTATTATCCTGTCTCTGACCTCCCTGTTTATTCTCTCTCCTGGGAGTTTCAGGGTGAGACCTATAACGTAGATATTCGTCTCCCCTCCGCTCTCAACAATGCAGCCCTTTCGTAGGGAATTTTGGTGTCGAAGTAATATAGCTCAACGGCGAAGCCCATCTGCAGAGAGAGAGAGAGAGAGAGAGAGAGAGAGATCAATTGAGTGTAGGTCGATCGCTGTGTTCCGTTCGCGTCTCGTTGATCGCTTATTGCCAAGCAACGTTCAGAACTGGATGTTAACGAGAGATCCTTCTCATCGATTCTCTTCAGTTCTCTATGTACCAACACAATACCCTTCTCTAGCGTATTGTTAATAAACACTACTGACAAAGACACTCTCTTACCTTTCATCGTTCACTTAACGCGCCAAGTGCCTTAGTTGATTGCAGTCGAATTTGACATACATACGTATGTGTCGATTTTTAAAGATCTTGGTAGTTTATTCTTATTTTACAAACAAAAGATGTAATCTAAAAAATGTACTAAACAAAAATTCTCAGAATGAGTATTCAATTATTTCCTATTAAGAAAGAACATTCTTCTGAGCATATATGTATATATATATAAATGAGGTATAATTATTTGTGTCTAGTGGAGTGAAAACCCTCGAGAGGATATTGGTTCTGACACGTTAATCCATAGTATTGCATAAATATTCAACAATCGGGTTATACTCACTTGTAAATTACTGTATATGGGACATAGGAATACTTAATGAAATAGAAATTACTTACTCACGGACCATTTCTTCCATATCGTATCATAGTCATACTTCATTCTTTGAAAGTTATAGACGTTTACGATACGTATTATTTTGTGACTCTACGATTGATGACGATTCTTGGTATATCGCCTTATCAGGATACAGAAACATTTCCCTCGAGCTATGTTCGCTACTTCTCGTCGAAGGATTCTCTATCATTTTTCAGATAAAAATATGAAACAATCGATTCTTTTTATTATCAATGTGGATTATTATTTTTAAAATATTCTTCTGTTTGTTCATAAATTTTCCCCTCGTTTTTTTCAAAATGTAATTTTTATCTTTTGCAACTCACTTTTGATAACGCATAACGTATGATTGGTGGATGCATTTGCAGAATTTGAAGCTATTAAAAAAATTATGAAAAAAAAAGTATGCGAAGATAACTTACACGGTGATTTTTGGAAGTAAGTCATATTATTTAATTACAAAATAAAATATTATCTTTTTTCTTTCTTTCATTTTTTCAAATATTATTTTTCTTTTCTTTTTCCACAGTTATAATGTATGTACATCGGTGGATGTTACTATTTCTTGCACTAGCAATAATCTAATTGTGATATCTATCCTCCGGTCTTTGAGTTAGAGATCACTATTATGGAGAGACAATGAATGACGAAGTTTGCAGTCGGTAGAATCCTCCTGCGCATGCTCTTCGAATAATACAATAATGTAAGACAGAAGAATCCCTCGTGTAATCGTTGGGAAGAAACATCTGTTTCCCTACTTGAATACACCTTTGCAATATTGCGAGAGAAACATTAGACATTATTTAATTGTCCGAAGGGGAAAGTATGTGATACTATAACGTTCAATCAATTTGACGTTTAAAGTATTATTTTTTCCCTAGAATTTTATATCGATTATTACAGGTAAGCAATTTGAATGCGTAATGAGGCATTAGGATTGGCGTTAGCTTATTATTTTGTCGCGAACAACAAAAGGAAACGTTACTATGTCTTCGAGAAAAATAAACTATTTCGGTCAGAGTGAACTTATAAGTCAATTAATTTTATTTATGATCGGCATAGGACCTTATGAAAATTCGAAGGAACGTATTGTTCGAACATGTGCGTTAACTTTGTTCTTTATTCCTATGTTCTTTCATCAGGTAAATTTTATTATTTCTCTTAAACGTTTTACCCTCGTCATAATTATTATTGCAATCGATGAAAATCTAGTCGAGAAGTATAATTTGTTAAAAAAAAAAAAAAAAAAAAAAAAAAAAAAAAAAAAAAAAGTTAATACACTTTTGAAAATAATAAATAAATTATGGATTTAATGGAAATGTTAAGAAAAAATGTCTACATTGACTTTAGATTTATCAATTTTGCACGATGGACTTTGAGATGAATTTGACTATTAGAAGGATGCAGTTATTTTTACCCTGTCTGTGTACCATCATTACTTATTACACCGTTATTTATAATTTTACAACCGTTCGTACTTAACTTTTTTATATATATTATTAGAATAGTCTTAATCAGAAGAAACATTAATTTACTTTACTTTTAGGTGAAGCTAATTTATGCACATCTAATGAATGATTATGAACAACTCTTGGATGATAAGGAATGGGATATTGTAAACAAATATAATAAAGAAAATAAAATATACATGTTACTTACTGCTAGTAAGTATGTTCGAAAAATCTGTTCGAATGACGATGAACAATATATTGTAATTGTATTACACGTAACGTTGTTACAGTCATCTTCAATATTTATCATACTTTAATAATTTATCCATCCATGTTAAGTGTGATTTTATACCTCGTCGGGTTATCGGGCGATACTCAATTAATATTGCCAATACCAGTTAATTATATAACCGATTCACGAGTATTTTATAGTATCCTTATTTATGAACTTATAGGACTTACTGTCTTAACTATGATAGCATTTGTGACTTTCACAACATATTTGGTATTAATACAACACGCATGCAATCAATTTAGCATTCTTATGTATGTATGCTATAATTAAGAAAAAAAGACTTATTTGCAGTAGGTATCATTATGTTTGCAAATGTATATTAAAATAGTATTATTTCAGAATGAAGACACTACAACCATTTAAGAAAAACCAGAATTCTATGGAACAGGATTTTTATTATAGTGGACCTCAGAAGGAGCACGATTGGATAGTTGATATAATAAATCGTCATATAAAGGCCACGCAGTTAGTTACCAGTTATTATTATATTTTTTTTGTTTTTTACATTAAAAATTCGCAAGAGTGTTTTATCGTACATTTTTTTTCTTTATTATCATTATTATATGTTATTTTAATTCATTTTCTCTCTTTTTTCAAGGTTAATTGATTTGATAAATTCTTTATCCGAGATGATTTATTTAATCGAAATTTTCTTTGGGATGATTATAATTATTGTTGATTTTATTTATGTAAGTAATAGTTTCAAATTAGTCGAATATATCATGGAAAAAAAACAGTCTTGCATTTTGCAAATATGATAAGAATATATTATAGTAATATAGAATATTTTGTTGTATTTATTTTATAATAAGAGTAATTTGTTCTTATAGACATTTCAAATTGTATTAGAAAATACAAGCGAAACAGTAGCATGTTGTATCTATATCGTTACATCTCTATTCCTTATATACATTAACTTTTATATTGGACAAAAGCTCTTAGATCATAGTAATGCAACTTACATGGAATTGTAAGTTTTAATGCCAAACACCAATCGTTTAATTTATTTTAAATTATTATACTTATAATTAATTTGAAGCATTATATTAAACGTGACTAGTTAATAATTATTCAAATATTAATCGTTTTAGGTGTAAAGTTCCCTTCTATGCGCTTACCGTCAAAACTCAAAAGTTATTTTTATTCATCATAGCAAGAAGTATGAAGTCAGCCAAACTTTCAATAGGAGGGTTATTTGTATCTTCTCACGAAGTTTTTGCAGCGGTAAATAGCCTTCAATTATCGACATATTAAGTGATAATTATATTAATGATGAATTTATTATTTCAGTTAATACAAAAAGCATTTTCCGTTGCTACGGTGTATTATAATATGCAGTAAGCTTAAGTAATCTCGTAATAGTGAAAATATTAGATATCAATCTATTAGAATCATTACTTCCAGAAAAAAGAACAAAATTAAACGTATACTCACTTGTAGTAAATATCACGATGATATAGTAAATATTAAAATGTATAGTATGCACACCTTCTATAGTATTCACGTTCACTACCTTTTTATATAAATGTACTGTAGCGTGGTTGGACAACAAATGACAAAGATTTCAGTGAAATGAATCTACTGCGCATGTCGTTTTGAAGTAAAAGTAGAAGGCGGAGACAACTCTCGTTTAATCGTCAGAAATAAAAACATCTGTTTGTTACTTACGTGGGAGCTCTTACCACTGCGAAGGAAATGCTAGATGTACTGTAATTATTTAAATGGAAGAATGATTATAAAGCCGTATTGCATCGATTATTTTTATGTCGCTTGCTATACTACTCTAATAAAAGATAATTAGAAATGCATAATTGGAATGCAAAATAAGAAGGAATAACGTAGAAGTTGTCTTTTACATTGCTGTTGGAAACTTAAGACAGATTGAAATTTTCTTTGCGACGTAATTCGGAGCTCTTAAAAGTAACGAGGACTATATTGCACTATGGTCGAACAGCGAGTGGAAGGTTTCGAACTGACTGCGCATGTTCTCTTTGAAAAGGAAAGTAAAATATCCCTCGGTTGATCCTTGGGAAGTAACATCTGTTTCCATACTTATAGAAATTGTATAATTCTCCAATTGGAAAGATATTCCAATCGATTTGAAGATTATAGTATTATTATTTTTAATTATTTCTTTACTTTTTTTTTTTCTACAAAGTGTTGCTGACTGTTGATTTTGCTAGTAATATTATCAGTAATACTTTCGTCATGTCTTCGAAAGTTATAATAGGTGACGTATGCGAATACTACGATTTGAACGAACGATTGTTACTGCAACTAGGTTTATGGCCCTATCAAGAAAAATTTGAAAAGTTTCTTCGAACGTTTATCGTCAATGTATCTTTGCTCGTGGCCTTTTTAGTTGAGGTAAATCTAATAACTTTTTAAACGTATCTTTGAAATTATTTTCTTTCACATTTATTTCACTTTTAGTTTTATCGATTCTACATCTCCGACTTTGATATAAAATCGATCATTGAAGAATCTCAGATATTTATAACTCTTCTGAGTGCCTCGTATTGTTATTATAATGCCATATTTCAATTCGAATTGGTATGTATTGCAAATATTATATCGACGAGGGCATTTGTAAAGAGAAAAATGAAAATGTTCAGATGAACTTTACAGCTAAAGAAACTTCTTGATCATATTATATTCGATTATAATCACATATCGAACAAGCAAGAAATAATTATTATGCAGAAATATGCAAAAGAAAACAAACGATTCATTCTAGGGATTTTATGTAAGTACAAAAGAACGTATCATTTCGTGGATTTTTAACGATTAATTTTATTTCTTACTTTTGTCGTTTCAGTGAGTTTTTATTTGTACGTAATTATCTTAATATTTCCGTCTGCATCACACGTCGTTTTATATATCACCGGTGTTGTCAATGATACTCAATTGACCTTACCAATTACTATTGATACTATTTTATTCGATAAAAGATCGTTTTATATCATATTTTTCATTCAATTATTTATATTATGGATCATAACTACAGTGGCAATCGTAAATTTTACGACATTCTTATTATTTTTATCGCATGCATGCGCCTTATTAAGTATCCTAATGTAAGTATATATAATCGAGAAAAAAAAAATGTCGACATTTCTATAATGATGTTTCGATCATTATTCGCACTACATGCAACAGATTTAAGATTGGTCAACCGTTGAAAAAAAATTCGCACGAACTTTCGTACAAATGGTCCTCTATAGCAACGTGCGATGCATACAATTGGATTAAAGATATAGTGACACATCATGTAAATGTTACGGAGTATGTATCTTAGAAATTTTATCCTTAAGACACGCTCTTGCGCTTAATATTTTTTCTTTTTGTTAAAATTATCTTTTTCTTTTTTTTTTTTTTAAAGATTCATCGATCTGCTAAATGATTTATGTGAAAATATATATTTAATTGAGATGATATTTAGTATGTTATGCATTATCATAGATTATATTTGTGTAAGTAAGATTTTAGAAAAATATTAGAATATATTTTAATTTTATAATATTCATATTTCATTCTTGATGATATTTAAAAACATTTGGGAATAGTTAAATTGTTTGGCTTTAGCTATTACAGATCTCTGACTTGATAAAAAATACGAACGAAGCATTTTTATACATTATTTATATTGGAGCATCTGTAATTACCTTTTATCTTCATTGTTATGTCGGACAAAGATTATTAGATCATAATGCAGTACTTTTAGAGAGTTTGTGTGTATATCATTTTTTTTACCATATATTATTAATTAATAATAATTATAATCATTCAATATTGATAGATCTCAAATATCATTCTATGAATTTCCGATAAAATATCAAAAAGATTTATCAATATTATTAATAAGAAGTATTAAACCATGTGTGATTTCGTTCAGAGGAATGTACATAATTTCGAATGATTTCTTTGCACGAGTAAGGATTATATTATTTTTAATATTACATACATGTTATATATTAAAAATGAATGTATTCTTTTAGGTTATTCATACATCATTATCCTACGCAATGGTGTACCATAACATGTGATTTTTGCATTGATGCAAGAATAACAAGAAACGCTTGCAATATTTAATCTATTCTTCAACTTGCATAATACTTATGATATCTATTATTAATATTATATGAAAGTAATATGAAATTATTATATATATATATATATATATACTTTGTGATATTTTCGATGTGGGTAAATCTTTCGTGTAATTATTTTTAACTTTTCATTTCGAAAAATACGATTATTTGAACTTATTATTGTACCATTATAACATATCACTAGTAGCGACTTTTAAGAAACATTAAGATGTCTAATATGAATTTACAATATATTTCTAAAGACGGAAAAATTATTTATAGCAGCTTTAATGATAAGCTTAAAACCATGTACACTTTCGTCCCGCAAGAGGTTTGTATTAGTAATGTATGACTTTATTTTAAAACGTATAATTCAGATTTGTCTCGTTGAAGTTTTCATAATTAAATTAATTTCATTTTTAGCTCATACGTAATGCGTTGTCATATAACTATATGGGGAGTGTATTCTGCACGGAAGAATAAATCATAGAAATAGTCACAAGAGGATTTAACGCTTATGGCTTATCTTCTGTTGAGAGAAAAAGCGTCTCCAGGAACTTCGAGTATTTGCATTTTGAAACTTATATGTTAAGTCATTTTTTGCAATCTCTCTTTACCATCTCTTTTTTTCTTTCCATATAATACGTAACTTACTCTGTTGAGATTTATTAAACCATGAAACAACTGCTTGTAAATTATAATTTTCGAGCTTACAATGAAAAGTTATACGATAATAACTCTTTCTGAATCTAACCATACCATATTTTCCAGTGTCTCTTTCCAAATGTCGACTCCTCGGTCCTGTAGAAAAAGAAAAAGTATAACGTTCTAACATATGATGGACAACAGAAAAAGAGTCGTGCATTGGCGTGCATGCGCAAGGACAATCTATATAGATGTTACAAAGGAAGGATAATGAACTGCATTTAGCTGCTCGCTTAAATGCTGAAAAAGAGCACCACTTACGAATTCGATGCAGTTTTATGTTAGAAGCCGAAACCCATTTCAATTTTGCACGGACAAAGAATTGTTGTTTTTTTTTTTTTTTTTTTTTTTTTTTTAATTATTCCCGTGGTAGCAATAACTTGAGGTTTTTATATTGTCATTAATTTCTTTACCTCGTCTATCATCTCTAAGTTCTTGTTCGTTTTCTTTACACTTTCACATTTTTATTTTTATTTTCCTTCTTTTTTTTTTTCTTTTTTTTTTCTAATTTTTAATTCGTCTCTCTTTTTCTTTCTCCTCGATCTTTGTCGTTTCTTATTATCACATACTTTTCACATTGGCTAAGCGATTTATGCTTCAGTAAAGTAGCTATCCGTATAGCTAGTATCGTCTCGTTTGTATTATCGCGTGCAATTATGTAAAAACTATGCTAATAGATATTGCACAGAAAAATCCATTTATAGGAGCATAGTGGAAGTGGAAAAAGGATACATAGTTCGGCAACGAAAGTAGTTTCGAGAAGTGAGAGTAGAGGTAGGAGAAGGATTACCCTAGGAGAAACGGGGATTTCGGTGTAATGAAAAAAACTGCAAATATTATGCAAATGCAATAATACATGTAAAATGAGCAACGCGTCGCTTGAACTTGCAAGAATTGACGTATAGAAGCCTTTCTAGGCAACTTATATATTTTTTTTTGCTTCTTCTTTTTTTGATTTTTAATTTTTTACCATCTAGTATACCTTCTTATCTTCGTTATTCATTGAACTTTTAGCGTTTGCGTTGATTGTCAGTGTCATAAAAGAATTGCCTTTTTCTTCTTTTTTCCATTCTCTGATCGATGGATCAATTTCTCATAATTCTTGGAGTAGTGCTATTATTTTTATTACAATGCAAATACGATTTTCTCTCTCTTTTTTGTAACATCGATTCATAATTTAATTTAGTGAGAAAAAAGTTCGTGCGCTATGAAATACGATATGTCTCGCATGTTTGGGAAATATGACAGAGATTTCTATGCTGACGTAAATTTGAAAACGTCATTTCAATTCGAGTGACCGTCGTATAAAAGCTTCAACGAACCGTACGAGCCTGCGGTGGTCTTTGATGTTACGTTAATTACTCTTTGTTAACCTGCACTTTACCTTTTCTATTATTTTATTTGGGTGGTTCGTTGTCGTTGCAATTTAATGTTCTTCTTTCTCTCTCTCTCTCTTTCTCTTTTCGACATTTTTATTGTTCTCGTAATCCAACGGGGTCAAGTGTAGTAATCGTGGAATTAATTTTAATTTCAAGAAAATAACTGATAAAAGATCAGTTCGAATCTTTTATCTTTTCGAAATCAATAATCATTTTTAAGTGTAGAAAACGTTGATACGTTTTGAGAGAAGATAAAGGAGGAAATGTTATTAAGGCAGTTGCGTTTATGGAAGGGCAGAAGTGCGCGCTTGTGCTTGCAGCCCTGTCGGTCGTTTGTGCCCTAAATGTCATTTACATATTCATGCTTATAACCGGCCATTACGGGGTTGAGCGCGAAACTTGTTCACGGAGTATTCGCGCACGCGCTGCGAAAGGCAACGCGCATATCCTTCGTGTGCCCTTTCAGAGCGAGAGAGAGCGAGAGAGAGAGCGAGAGAGAGCGAGAGAGAGAGAGAGAGAGTCCTTTAATACCTTCTCCGGAAACTACTTGGAATCTCATTTCTACGTGGATTTACATCGGACGGAAACTTACTCTTGTAATACATTTATCCTTCGTACACTTTCGTTTACGCATCATCGATTCTCTCGGATTCAAACTATACTCTATATCTCTATTATATTTGTTATTTTTTCCCCGACAGACGGTGATAAGGATGATCGTTAACTTTGCTCTCGATGTCGAGTATCACTTGACAAGACTGTATCTCAAATATTGAATGACAATTGACGTGTAATTTTTTATTTTTATTTTTATTTTTTTTATTTACAGATATCAATTAAAATAGAATAGAATTTCAGTTTCCTGGTATGAAATACCGAGCAAATAAAAATGTTAACAAAGCCGAGATATGATTCATTGAGGAAATTCTTGCTAAGTTTTTTACTGGCAGCTTAATTAAGAACGATATACCCCTTGTAAACGTTAAGAACGTTATGAAGCCATGAAAGTCTCGCGTTTTTCTCATCGTTTTGGTCGCCATGGAAGACCGCGTGTCCTTCATGGGTACGAATTTCATGGCCAATTATACTCCCTTGTGACGCTCGATATAACTTTGCCGTTCAATAATATGTTATTGCTTACTACGTTGGTGATCGTAATAATAGTTTGAGCTTACTTTACAATTCATTAGCATTGTCTCCATTTTAATATCACTTTGTTAATATAATTTTCTCCCTTTCTTTTCTTTTTTCTTTCTTTCTTTTCTTTTCTTTTTTTGCAGAATACACTTTGCAGTTATTTCAATTTCACCGTTTCTCTTCCAAGTCAGTTATTGATAGGATTTCCAAGAAATATGATGGATCCTCGAAATGGCGTCGAAGAGGATATTGACGAGAGTGATATTTCGAAAGTCGATGGAACATCGCCGGAGCGAGAGTCATACGTTATAGGGGCAAATTCCAGAAATAAGAGAGACAATTTGCTATATGACTTCCGTGGAATAAAACGTAACGAGGGTGACATTTGTCGAAGGAGGATCATTTGAACTGGCTATTACAGAAACGGAATGAAACAATGGCGACTATAGTCTACAGTCTGTCTTTCCCTTTGGGAAGAAGGAAATGTCAGTTCTTGTCTAGTCGAGTCCTTTAAAGGAAGAAGAAGAAGAAGAAGAAGAAGAAAAAAAATAAGGAAAGGAAGGCTTAACATCTGTTGTAGAAAGAAGAAGTTTTGGAGTTGAGGAAAAGAAAAATAGAAGGATGAAGCATAGAATTCCAAAAATAATTAGAAGTTTTCTGTGAAGTGAGTAATTAACTTTCAATATCCTATGTTACGACCTTATTTCACTATTGAAACAGTCACTGAAGTGATGGGTACTCTTGTCATTTTCTTTCTAGCGACGAACACACGTTTCTCGGTTAATAAAACCTTGATCGAGCATCGACGGTCTACACCGACAAGAGAAAAAGAGGCAGAGAGATAGAGATAGATAGATAGAGAAGGAGAGAGAGAGAAAGAGAGAGAAAGAGAGAGAGCTGCGTGAAATTTGAGCTCACTGAAGTGCGGTAGCCTTCGATCCTATATTTCGTTGTTCGTCGATAAAGAGAAAGAGAGACACAAAGAGAAAGACTCGTTGAGGCTCGGCGTTCGACAATGGGCAATTTTCTCTGACCGGACGAGAAGTTTCGTGGTCAGCCTCGACTACGATTAGATAGGAACCAGGGTAATGGCGGGAGGTTCAATCTGCATTCGTAATGACGAACGTGGAAGGTGACACAGTGTCTGACCTCGGTGCAGTGACATCGGCCATCTATTAACCCCTGAAGCCATACGCCTGCTCTCGGTTCTCTGTCATGGAGAGGAAGAGAGGATGAGAGAGAGAGAGAGAGAGAGAGAGAGAGAGAGAGAGAGAAGGAGTACCAACCAGTTGGACCTCCCTTTGCCACCCTGCTAATGACCTCTTTGAACATTGTCACCATCCTACTATTCTTATCATCATTTCTCTTTTGATTCAATTCTAGATATTAAAAAAAAAAAATGTGTAAGTATTATTTCATGATACTTTCAATTTTCTATAATTAAAAAATGATTATACAATGTAAAACTTATAGTTGATATAATTTATACTCAACAATGGTAATCCCCTTTGAATATGAACGAATAATTCATATTATGACGGAAAAGATGAAATAAGACTTAAAAAATACAGATGTATGAGAATGTGTATGCTTTCAGAACGCTTTACGAGGAACGTTCGGGAGGATTGTTCGAAAGTTTTAGGCCGCAGAGTAAATACATGCTATGCGACTCGATGCAGTGTACACTAATGACGAATAAGAGCAAAGTTTCACTGTGGCTTCGTGGGAGTGGTAATGGTGGCCTTCCTCTTCCCACCATTCACCCACCCACCACCTTCCAACCCGTGTGGAATTCCATAGCTAATCTTAAGCAGAATTAGCTTTCCAGTACTCGATTGGAAACCACTGTAATCACGTTTGCATCACTGCATTTAATTCCGTAAACGAGATTTTACCCGTTATCCATGATCATGAGATGCATGAGGTCAGACAGAGATATCAATGAATTATTATTCTTGTGGTCAACATTGGCATTCTGGTGAGTTCTCCTCAACTTATGAGTTTTCCTTCTACTCTCGATTATATGGTTTAAACTGTTGGATTACTTGTTCCTTCTCAATCAATTGTTTGTGTATATATATATTAATAGCTTTATATATATATATATATATATATATATATATATATATATATATAAAGCTATTAATGCATACCTAGATCGATTTTGCTATCATATAAACAATTTATTATCAATCGACGATTGGACGTATATTGAATGATGAATACCTAATCCAGGCACCATCCTAATCCTGCTACATGATGGATTTAAATCCAAGCATATTTCGTGACCATCCCAGTGGTTGACCTATCCAATAGAAAATGGTTTTGGTCGATAGCGAGAAGGTACAAACAACGTTCAAGGTACCAAGCGTCGCTTGGGGTTGCGCTTGGTTGGCGATGCGCCACGCATCATTTGCCTCGAGAGTTAATGCGATAGCCAGACTCGCCGCTAGCCTATCAGATTAGAAAGTATAATGCTTATGTTTTATAGATTCGTGAAGTCAGCGTACGTATACTACTTTCTTTATCATATCTTCCCTCTAGCATAGTGCATTTCAATGGGAACGCTTAAACGTCTTTGTTGTTTATAGGTGTATGATGATGCTTTTTACAAGCTAAAAGGACAAACTAGATTTTTCAAATAATAAGTATAAAAGTATAAATATAAGTATAAAGAAATAAGTATAAAATATAGAGTAAAAACATTTGTTCATCTTCTCATTGAAATAGTTCACTTTGTATACTCTAACAAATTTCTATTTTCTCATTCAGTGAATGAAAACTCAAAGTTTATCACCATATGGTACTATCTGTATTTTTATTTCATCTCTAAGTTTCAAACAAAGAAATTTACATAGCTACCTACGACAGATGCGAAAGTGGACACATGTGCATAACAGTGTGCTTTGAGCGATCCTGAAAATCCCAGAGGATCCAGTGGTGGTTTTGAAGCTTCCCTTACTTACTATCGAGAATGCACTTTTCTTGTTTCGCACTTAAGACGAGTTTCCGGATGCGAGAGCATTACTTTCAATATGAACGCATATCGCTGTAAGCGGTCTCTTGCATCACTTACATATGTTATTAAAAGCCTACAATCGTGTTATTTTTTTACGGTAGTAATTATATATAACTTTGTTGAATGTTTTCAGATGATAAATTGTGCAGAACAAGTTGAATGAGAGTCAACCGATTCGATTTGAATCGAATGTAAACGTAGAAACGATCAGCTTATATGAATTTTGAACATATTGGTCCAGCTCGAGGAGTTTTACATTTAGAGAGAGAGAGAGAGAGAGAGAGAGAGAGAGAAACGAGCGATTTCAAACTACCTAGGAACTGTAATTTTACAAAGTGACGTACCAACACTCGACGATGTACGCCAGTGGATGAAGGGATCGGAGCAAGGGTGCACACTGCACAACCCTCATCAGCAACGGTATTGCCGCGATAGCGGAGCTACTCGTCAAATATTTACTTTAGAGGATGCTGGTGCCAGGCAACGGGAGTATCTCAGTTGTCGAGTAGGAGGAAGGAAGAGAAAGAGGACGCTGTTGGATAGTCCAATGCGTTATACATAGTTTCGTAAAAACGTTTAGTCATTCGATATTTTAGTATTGACTATAATTTTGTTTTTTTTTTGTTTTTTTTTTTTTCCAATTTTCACGTCGACTACTATCATAGATTTCTCTGACTTCGTTTGTTACTATAATAAGAAAGCTATGCAAACACGAATAATACTCTAAATGATTAGGAAACCTTGAGAACTAGCTGGATAGTCGAACATTAAATATTCAGCAACTATTTTGTTCTCTGTAGACACACCAAAGAAGGACTTTGAAATGTAGAAAGGTTACTTTGTCTGCTTTGAGTAAGGATGTTGATTGGAAGGATCAAAGTCTACATAAGTCCAGGGTATTTAATTGCTCGACCATAGAAGCAGATACTAATTCAAGTTTGAAGACTTTCTTTTTTAATTTTTCCCTCTGTTTCTCTTAATTACTAATTTCGTATTACTTCCCGAAGGGTGCGTATAAATGTACACATTTTTTTTTTTTTATAAATCTTTAATCAAATCTAAAGTCTTATTATATTTTTAAATACAACTGCAGAGAGTATTTTATTCAATCTTCATCATGAAAAGTAGTATTGCCATTAAATGTAAGTTAACAAGAAATCGATGTATTAATTATAAGTAAATAGCATATTTCTTTGGCTGTGTATTAAACACTTCTTGAGCGCATAATTTTCAATATTCTTTTTATCGAGAATGAAAATTATACGTAGCAAAAGTAATTTTATTTACGTGTGTATAATCATGTTTAATTTCATATAATTTTCTCTACAATTTTTTACTTTTTTTGAGCTCTATTTCTACAGATACTAAACTTTATAAACCTATTTTCATAGTTTGAAATAAAAAACTATATATTTTGACAATTTTAAGGTTCGTATATTGTATTTTTAAAGTTTCGATTTTTCGTATAATAAATTACGAAATTAGAAATTTCGCGGGTTGTGGGAGGGGGATGGAGGAGGCATTGTATAGATGGCGCACTGAGCGTGTGCGAGGGGTTCACTTACCTTCCTTGCTGGTGATGAATCCGCCATTTTTTTATTCTTATGTGGTACTAATTGCAACGGAGTTTCCTCATCCCGCTAATTAGAGGTAATTAGTATATTTCTTCGAACGTACAATATCGTCCAATATACTAATCGATTTTCAAGTAAATAATTTCCAAGTGATATTGTTAACGTTTCGTGATGGTGTTGAGAATAAAAGATATTTGTACAGAAAATAATTGTATATATTTGCTTATACACTTTCTTTAAGATTTTTTTTCCAACCATTTTCAGCTTTATTTCTATAGGTATCGACTTATAATGATTCATTTCCATAGTTTTAGTTAATAAAGTATCTGTTTTAACAATTTTTAAGTTCGTATACCATTTTTTTATTTTTTTGTTATTTTTGTATAATAGATCGAAAAATCGCAAACTTCGCGGGGGGTCATTACGCAAGTGGCGCATTGCGCATGCGCGATTCCGCCATGTTGAATTTTTCTGTGATACCGGTTGCATTGGAGCCTTATCATCTCGTTATTTACAGGTAAATATTATATTTTTCGTAATGTACATACTTCATTTATATATCAATCGATTGCCGAAAAGACGATTTCCACGCGTGAATGTTCGCAAGACGGGGCATCTTCGCGTTTAAAAGATATTCGCGAAAATAAAATATGACGTCATAGCGTCACTCCGATGGTTCTCCTCGCAATTATTTTTTCGTATTTTTCAGCTTTATTTTTGCGATTGAAGTGTTTTTTTTGTGTTTAAATTAATAATTTATTGATTTTTGATCAAAATTATTCAAATTTCGTATCATATTCGATTTTTGTATATATCCTGTATAGGTTGCATATATACACATATACATGTATACACTTATCATGCATATACATTATATATACACACATATACATGTATACACTTATCATGCATATACATTATATATACACACATAAACATGCTAATAATCTTAGTTTTTACTAATAAAGTCTTTTTATTTTGCAGATTATAATACATCATACTGTATCAATAGATCAGACTTCAGGAGATAGTCTACGCAGTCAACTTACCTTCACCTTCTATTGTCAAGTCTGCGCTGTCATCATAATGTAAGTTTTGCTTTATACCTCTTTGCTATAGTTTTACCTCTTCACTATAGTTTTACTTCTTTGCTATAGTTTTACCTCTTCGCTATAGTTTTACCTCTTCGCCATAGTTTTACCTCTTCGCTATAGTTTTACCTCTTCGCTATAGTTTTACCTCTTCGCTGTTAATTAGATCTCTTCACTTTATTATGGATACATTAAATATATATTAATATAGTCTATAATATAGTTTACGTATACCATAATAACAAAAATTAATTTACTATAAAACACTATAAAATATAATTAACCTAATTTAAATAAATTTTTATTTCATATAAGAGTAAAGTAAAATTTAATAATTATTAATACTATTTTAATCTTATTAGTATTATTAGTAATAATGATATATATATATAGTATAATATAATATAAATCTTATTATTTTATCATGAACTATTCAATCTAATAGATAAATCTAATTAATTTTATTCTAATAAACTAAATATTATAATATAAAATTTTATTGTAACATAACTAATTATAATAATACTATTAATAGATATTTATTAATATTTTTTTAGACAATAGTAATTTCAGTTGACTTGTAATTTTGTTGTCATAGTTTAACTTTTTTTACTTCTGATTTTGATCGACAACTGAGCATTTACAGGAACTTTATTTGTTTTCTTCTTTGTTTAAACTAATTTTTCTTTTTCAGCTATGTACATATCCTGTTTCAAGAAATATAATTTGTGATATTCTTCATGGAGGTCATCGTTCAAGGATTAATGAAGAATCTAGTAAGTAAACATTTGTTAACATTTTTTTCTCTATAGTTTAAATGATTTTTTTTTATAACAATGATTTTAATAACTTGATTTTTCTTTTCCTTTCAGATAATCATTGCAATCGTGCGCGATGCATTGAATAAAGCGAGTGTTTTTCCGGTAATTAACAAAAAAATCACGGAGTAGAAGCAGTGCTTGTTCGTTGATTTAGATTTATCCGCGATTATTTCGTGATTTAAATTAATTTTTAGAAAAATGTGAACTTGAATTGACTGCGTGCAATGCAGTAATAATAGAGTCAGTGTTTGTTCGTATATAGTTTTAATTTTCTTTTTCTAAAGACTATAGTTATAGTTTAACAGTATAGATTCGCGAATTAAATTCAGTTCGTCTCGTAATAAATAAAATAAATAAATATCGCGTATTAGAGTCAGTGCATCATGGAAGATGATCAAGAAATTAGTACACATTTTCTCTAGGAAATTATTGGTAAATAATTTTTAAAATTTTATTAATAATAATTTTAATAACGATCTTGTTATGACAATAAATTTATTCGATATTTGTTTTTTGTACTTTTCCAGATCATCAGTTATAATAATTTACAAGAATTTCAACCTACCCAATTTCAATCTACATCGATGTCTACCTACCACATTTTCGACCTACAGCGCGGACGAGTGTTTTGGAGCCATCGTAGAACTTCTTAAGTAGTAAGTGAAAAAATTATGGTTCCTCCAGTACTCATCATGTCGAGGACGAAAGGTCCGAATCGGCACGAGTTACTGGTTGTAATTTTTTTAACTGATTATTGACGAGCACGTGAGTAATTCTTATTTTGGATTTACTCACGAATAGTATTTTTTTCTTTCTGCATGTTTTCCATTGTTTATTTATTGTGCATGCCTATTTTTATTAGCTCAGGATAGGGTCTTCTTGTTTCATCGGGTAGAGTCGTTTTTAATTAAAAGTGCAATTAATTCGCACTTTTTTTCTTCGTTTTTGTTCGCTTTTGTTCGTGAAAAAAGCACGTGATGTAGTATACATGCATTGCTTCCTACTTAGTCTATTTGATCGCGATTTACTTCGATATATCGATATGGATATATCAAAAAAATAAAAAAAAATGAGCAAGAAGACAAGCGCGACGGATAGATTCTGGAATACAAGTGGCGCATCATGATTTTGTTCTTTCATTAGTATATAGCCGCTTGTTCGAAGGAGTCGTCCGAGGTTTTTTATTGCTGCATGAAAAATAAATGAAATATTTTGTTGATAAAATATAAGTCTCAGTAGAGTCATTGTTTTTGCAAGAAAAAAGTCGAGTAGAGTAATTGCAAAAGAAACAAAGAGACTTGTAGAATCATAGCCCGTAGGCCTAGTTGATAAGTTAATCATTTTTAGCTTAGGATTTTCAGCAATTAATGTACTAATTCCCGTTTCTCCCCCTCATATTTTCTGCGTTCTCATCTGTCCGTGTGCCCAGGTGTACTCGTATGGGTGAGAAACAGTTGGTATGGGTTTAGTTTTAAGTTTCCCCTCTTTGGCGACTGTCATTGCGATAGTGATCGTGCACGATGTACATTGCACCTGTGTGTGCGTCTTAGGTGGTGGATTGTGCATCGTTTCGCGAAATTTTTAATCATTCACATAAAAAATATTTAATTGTTTTCATCGTCAAAATTGCATGATGATAAAAAAATCATATTTGTATGTATATTGCTAGAGTATGCTCATATATTATAGTATCTGATAATATTTATATTTAATTGAGTTTTTGCCTTATGCAAAAAGACATCCGATCGTTATTAAATAAACCAAACTATATTTTAATGAATATATAAAATAATACTCGTATGTTACTAGTATGGTTATTATATACTGGTACATACTAGTATTTATATTGAAAGTAGATCCTTACGCAATGGTCATTAACCTTGACAGTCGATTTCAGCAAATTGGTACGTACCCTTAATTAGTTAAGTATTAGAAAATACGTGGTTGAGCTAGGGTGTCGGAGGTGTCCCGGGGCATACTCTCTAGTGTAGGCTTTTGCACCCTGGCGGTATGTGAGAGAATCGTGGAGTGTGTGTGTTGGAACGAATGTTTTGCTATTTTTTAAATATAGGAATATAGGTAGGCAGGTAACATACTTAGGTGTGAATGGTGCTTTATTTTTAAGTAGGTAGGACCGATAAGACGCAAAGTATAATTTCCACTCAGGAGTGGAAAGTTTTGTCTCCGGATATTTGCAAGGTTTCAGCAAATTTTTACAATTTCTCAGCATGTTTGGTTTTCTTTTTTTTCCTCCATATTTTGCTGACACCCTGCATTGCGAGATATATCAATATCAAACAGTTTAAAAGTCTTTGAATTTATTTAAAATTTCATTTCTTTCGAATCGTCAAAGATTTTTGAACATGTTGGATATTTAGTATTAAGAATATTAACACTTCGCATTCTCGTAATTTATAGAATATGTAATTCGTTGTTTATATATTATGAATTAAAGTAAAAAGTACATTAAAAGCAAGAATTAAAAAAGTAAAGCTATAAGGATATATCATAGATATTCTAATTTTCTTCGGTAATTTTTAATGTTTCTATTGCGAAGTGTTAATTATAGGTTCATCGATTAGATCGAAAATCTGTTGGAGCATTCGAGTAAATGTGCCTGTGTAGATGTGCACGATTGGAAAATTCTTTTGGTTTATTGATCGTCCACAGGCTAGGATAGTTCGTGAAATATGTAATAAACATTTTATTTTTATTTTTATTTATTCCTTTTTTTTTTTTTTTTTTTTTTTTTTTCCATGCGTTGCGCTTAGGGAATGCTCCGTTACAGTGGTTAGGGCACGAAGCAAAGAAGAGGCTATATGCCGAAGAGGCCCCCACAAATTGTGGCTCAAGAGGGCAACTATCGACTACGAGTTATTATTCAAAGGTGTCGACATGTTGTACCCTTCGTTAATGGCTTGTGGTCTTATTTTTTATTTATATTTTATTACGTAGTCATTTTGCTCGTCATTAATAATCATCGTTGACGGAGATGATGGACCATTCCATCTCCTTGGCATGTGAAATACGTGCTACAATCATCAGATGCAACAGATGCACAATTGTTAGGATAGTATACATTTAGATATCGGGAATAATAGTATGTTTTCAAAGTACTTTAAAGATCGTGTATGTTTTATTCAATGCATATTATTTCAATGCGTTGGAGTTTTCATTCTTTTTTTTTTTTTTATACACATTTTTTGTTCGCTTTAAAAACGTTTAACTAAATACGTATATATTCTACCGTTTCAGTAAATTTTAAGATCTAAAAATTTTTCCTTTCTCTGGTCGAGTATATTACATTCATCTTCGTGATAAATACGTTTAGATAATTTCACTTTTTGTTTCTTTTTTTATTTTTGCTTTTATTCTCCGAGTAAACTTTGAGAGTCATTAACTTTTTATTCAGATTTGATTTATTTTTATAAGCAAAAGGAAAGAAGAGTAGATATGGTTAGAAAATAAAAAATGCATCTGCCAGCACGTTCAATGGACGTGCATTTCTACCTGCATGTGTTTATATGTTTTGTTTACAATTAAAAGATAATTAATATATCCTTTTTGTTTTAGGTGAACATCGTTGGATTATCTATCCTTTTCTCGTATGTTGTCATACGTACATACGTGTAGATACAGTTTACAATTATAATATAACTAATTTATCTTCTTTCTGTTTCAGATTAACATTGCTGGATCAACCATGGACAATCCTGTTTGGCTCCCACGTGGTACAGTTCCTGGAACGTTGCTTTTGTTATATTGACATTTCTTAATCAAATGTTTAATCTGTTTCAGCCATGATCGCAACAAATCGACATCCTGAAAAGTACCTTGCATATAGCTTTAACCATCTATAACACTATACCACTGGTTTGTACGATTAGTGATGATATTTTCGAGGGAGTGAAATTACACTCCTGCTAGCGTTAGAATGATTTTGTATGTAATAGTTTTTACGACGTAATAATTGTATAATTATTATTTGTTTCGCACAATGCGAAATAGGATAGATGGGAAATTATGTAAATTATTTCATAATTATTTTTCACGAATTTGAAGATTTCGTGAACGTAGGCTTGGAATAGGATGGGAAAAGGGTTGGGAAGGGGGTTATGAGCAAGGGAATGTTATTAGTGGCCGAGGGTAAATGTGTTTTCTCGTATTGTTGTCATGGGGAGAAAGAGAAACGAAACGCTTCGAACTTATCGATCCAGCATTATATTTCCCGCGATTAATTGTCTGGTACTATACCGAGACCGTTCTCCTAGCGTGCATTGACCTTCGTTTGACGTCGGCGTCGTTCGGATGAGCTCGCCTATGCTCGCTGGTAGTGGGGATTCGCGAATTGCAAACTCGCAGCTTTCCACCATTGCTCGCTCCGCTTCCGCCGTGTTTACTTCGTGTTAGTGCATACTCTGGTTGCGTGGTCTATCCTTTCGAATTGTCAAATGCGAGCATCGTTTTGACGTTTCTAAAGAAACGCTTTTTTACCTTCTTTTTCTACCGTTTCTATTGTATTTTTTGTCTCTTCTTCTTTTTCCTTTTCTTCTTCTTTTTCTTCTTCTTCTTATTCCTCATTTTCAATGGACAAGTGTTGGAGTTCGTTCGAATTGAATTTTTAATATTGTACCTTTTAATTTTTTTGGTGACCATTTTATCTGTCGCTTTTCACTTTAATAAATGATCGAGAACGAGGGTGTTAGAGATAGATAGATAGAAGAGGATTAGAAAGATGGTGCAAATTATCGGATCGATTTGTGCGTGTGTGAACTCACAGTGAAACATTCTGTGCGTGTTTTGAAAAGTGTGTGCATTCTTCTTAAATAATTAATTATTTTTGTCATTGTATATTTTTTTTTTCTTTTTTTTTTCTTTTTATTTTCTCGGACATTGTTCATCGAGATAGACAATACGACAGGGTTAGAACAGAAGGGTGTGTTTTCGATAGTAGGAGAATCGTGTAGACACGTCGTTCAATTTACCCGCGCAAATTCGAATCCAATCCAAGTACCGTTTAATCCAGAAGGAGAGGTTCAATCGCATCCACTAGGTCGTTGTTCTTACTCGACAATGACCTTGATGTATCTAGGCTGCTGTTAGAATTCTCTCGTGTATCATTCGTACATTCGTCTATTTCATTCATTTTCTCGTTTCGTACAGCAATTGGTTATTTTGCGATAGATTTAACTTAATTTCATTGATTTCTAAAATTTACTTGTAATTAATGGCCCTTATATATTTCCAATATTACAAAAGATACAAAGTTTCATATTCCATCTCAATATCGTTGAATTATTTTTCATCAGTTTATACTTGCCTTAAAAATTACAATCTCGAGCATGAAGAATAAGCAAAAATAGCAACTGCTGTAGGTTTTTTTATCCGCGTTCGTTTTATTAAAAAAAAGAAAGAAAAGTTAATTATCGACCCAACCATTATTGTATAGAATACGGTAAAAGAGAACTTTCAGTGTTTGTAGAATCGAATATCCAACTTGTCTATTTTTTGAATGGAAAACTAGGGTAAAGAATGCAATATTTTTTTCCCCTATCGGAGATAACAAAGAGCGTAACAGACACGTAATCAATGCATTTGCATCGGTTATGCATTTATCTATCTACGTAGTACGTCTATATGTATATGTATATGTGTATATGTATCTACACATATCGCATGTAAATTATTTCAAGGGTAGTAGAGCGCGATAGAATTTTGCAACAAGGCGATAATTCGCAATTAAAGTAGGTACTCGACATTGCTGGTCGATGAATTGACTCGTGAAAGCGCAACCACGCGAGAGTCGCTTCGAGGTCCACTGATGGAAAAAAAAAGTTGCATTTGTCGCTAGGAAATTGGCTTCACTACGCGTATCGAATGATTAATTAATTTAACGAGTACTCTTCGTGTCAGTTAATAGAAATCTCATTCGATCATTTCTATGTATGCGATAATATCAAGGAAATTTGATTGATTCGTCCAGAAGAATCCTGTTTAATTTCATCCCCATTGGATAGTCATGTACATCATGCACATTATATGTATATGTATATACGCACATTGTTTTCTTGTTTTCTTTTAGTTTTATGACTGGTGAATTCCTTTGAAATCCATTTCAAATAGTGAAACGTCGAACTAATTTCAATTATCGTCGTGATATCTGAAAAAAAGACAGTGTTACTGCGATGTCAAAGTGACTGTGATAAACTTTCGAGATATTTCGATATTTTTACTCCGGCTGAATTGATCGATTGACTTACTAACTGACTGACTAACTAACTGATTGACTGAACTTTAGAGTTTCTTTTTTTAATGAGTGAGCAATGAGAGAACGTGTCGGATAAAAGCAACGTCGTAAAAACAACGGATAATCCAAGACTCTGAAGTTCATTGAAAGGGAAGGAAGAAAGACGGAGATTTCTCGTGAGAAAAGGTCGAAATTGAAAAGCATCGGGGTAAGTTTTCTCATATCTGTTTAACTTTAAAGCCCAGATCGAGTTTTCTATAGTTAATTTCGCTTTGAATTCGCGTTGCATTAAATTTTCTTCGATTTATGACCGCGGACTCGTCGCCTACATTCCTGACGTTTACCAAATAATCACGTTTACCGAACGCTGTTATTCGCATCTGTTATTTTACGCTGAATTACGAGATTGCTCGTAGGAGATTATTGCTCAGCGGCTGCAGCGAATTGTTTCACGTAACAATTGTTCGAAGATCGATTCTCCGTGGCAACGTTTTACCTTTTTCTCTCACTGATTTTATACATGTGAATATATGCGCGTATGTAGTACACCGGTGTATCAATTAATCAGTCGGAGTGAGAACTCATCAGTTTATAAATTATCATTCTTTTTCGTAGCTACAAAATCATCACACTCTCGAGTCTATTAAACTAGGTCGATGAAGTTGCAAAGGAAAGATAGTGTCTCGAATTCTTTTTAAAACCGTTAGAGACGTGAGATTTAGATGGGATCTTTATTTCTCTCTTTCTACTGTGAAACTTCATCGAAGTATCCTCTACTTCATCTTCCTTTATCTCTCTCTCTCTCTCTCTCTCTTGCTTCCTTTTACGTCTTCTGCTTTGTTGACCTATTTCAATGTTTTTTCTTTTTCTTCTACTTTTTTTTTTATCTTTTCTTTTTTTTTAAATCCGACCGAGTTCGTCAGTTTTGTTTTGGAAAAAGCATCGTCGACTTTGCAAGATTGATTTCGTCTTACGTGCAAGGCATAATAAATGGATAAAATGAAAGATATAAAGTTATATTAAGTATATTAAGTTAAAGTATATTAAGTTCGATGAACTTAAGGGAGAAAAACAAAGAATTGAGGTTTCAGCATTTGAACTGAATTATGCCTTCATATTATATGAAGATTTTGAAAGGGAAAGGATGGTGTTAAAAATCACGCCGCTGGCACATTTATCGATGCGTTTGCGATATACGATATTTAACATGGGCCTTACTTAAAAAGCAGGAGGTAAAGTTGCTACGCTCGCTGAACGTGCCAAGGCCGTTTCGAAAGAGTTACTGGCGACGCTAATATCTGTAATACCAAGCTCACGATCGTTCTACCATTCCGAAAGCTTTCCCAAAATCTGCTGCCACGGGCATCCTACTGGAAAGCATCCAAGGGATATACCTTAGCGTATCCTCGGCTCTCTCTTTTCCTTCTTTTTCGGAAGTTTTGCGGCGACGTTAAATAGGCCTCAATTTAAGTGAATTTACGATATAGCGTGAATACGAGAAATCTCGATAGTTTTTAAACCGTGACAAAATTCAAATCTCTTAAGATAAATATTCTAATACAAGTTCATTGTACTTCCATTTATATGATATAAAAGATTTACAATCTAACATAACAATTATATGTTAAATATAATATGATTTAAAGAAAAATAATGCATGAAACATATCTAAAGCTCTATAATTTCAATGTTGGATCGAGATGAAAGATTAGACGATCGAACACGTCGACATTTTTCACGACAGCTTTCAACGATGATAAAGTTCGCTGGCTCTGTTTCCTCACGAATATTTTATGACTTCGTCGTCTGGAATGATTTCATCAAATCGTTTTTTTTTTTCTTTTTTTTTTTCGTTATCACGTGCAAGAAGAGATACTACTATCTTTGGATTAGGTACATGGGATAATAGGATTTCTTTTTACGGTCGATATTTCGTGAGAGATTTCATCGTAGACACCGGAAAGTTTCTTTCTTTTTTTTTCTTTTTTTTTTTTTTTTTTTTTTTTTTTTTTGTACAAAGAAATAGTATAATCTTCTGAATGAACTTTTTATCGTTAATTCGAATAGTTATATCGCGTGCTGTCGAACGAAGAGTCTCGAGTTAGAGTGCTCATCCCTGTTTTCCGTATTTCGAGAGAGCGAGTTGAATCAGACAATTTTCAGAGAGTTTCCTTCGAAGCTCGAGCAAGTTTTTCAAAGTTGTAGAAAAGCGTTCGACGTGATTTTGCCTCGTCAGCGTTGCTTTCTCTGTACGTAGCAATAGACTGGTTGGATTTTCAGAAGTTTTCGAGGGTAAGAAAAATAGTTGCGATAAATATCCACTTTAAGTCTTCTTACATTCGTAATGAGAGTCTTTGAAATGATATATTCGATCATGCTTACCCAAAATGTTTTTCAAGATTTTACAGTAAAAGTTAGGAAGAGAGAGAGAGAGAGAGAGAGAGAGAGCGAATGTGAGAGAGAGAAATCTAGAGAAGCTTCTCTAATTTAATTTTAGTGAATTCCCTTACGACAAGACCACAAGAGAGAAGACTCCTGAAATTCTCTTGGTGACATGAGGCCAATTCCGGGAAGTGATCATCAAGTGGACACGACAAACATACGCTTTTGAATTTCCTGGCTGTCCCATTCTACGAATAATACTGCCATCGAGCATCTTCTCTTTTCACTGAGCTTTGATCATTGAGGTCGAGCTTTTCAAATACCGGGAAAGCATCATTTCTTTTGGAATATTCGATTTATCGACATGAATTAAAAAAAGACTCCTTTGAAAAAGAAGTACCGTTATGATTCTTGTTTTATTCATCATTTTCCCGTAATGTTGAACAACATTTTTCAAATCAAAGTAATCGACTCTCTTTCTCTATCTGTCTTCTTCTGCTACTGCTTTGAAATGTACGAATTTTCATTATACGTAAAGCTTGCAGCTTCCGAGTGATCTTTGTTGAATAGGAAATCATTCCTTTTCTCTCTCTTTCTCTCTTTCTCCTTCTTCTATTTTAATCTCTTCGAAGCAAGAACATCTTTACTCTCAACTTCTTTCTTCTCTCAACCGCAACACTTTCCCCGAAGAAGCTCTCTTGCACATTCACTTTGAAAGTCCAACGTTCGAGATAGTTCCTCCCTTCGTTTTACCTACGTCGATTTCGAAGCAATTTTCAGCGAGCTTCCGGTAGCTCGCGACTTTTCCTATCTTCATTCGACCACTACGTCGACTTCTCTAGGGAACTTCTTCTTCAACCTCTACGATCGCACTGAATTACCAATGAACATTCTGATCACGTGCTTTTTCCCTGCAATGAGAATGAGTGAAAGGGAAATAGAAAGAAAGAAAAAGGGAATGAGAGAGAGAGAGAGAGAGGGAGGGAGGGAGAAAGAGAAGGCGATAGGAGAAAGGGATGAATCGAACAAATAAAAAGAGAGAAAAGAAAAAAGAAAAAAAGTTGGATGAAAAGTTAGCTAGCGATGCTAGGTTTTAATTCGATCGCCGATCTCTCCTATACAAGCTTTGTATTTTTTTTTCTTTTTTCTCTCCACACTTTTTTTTTTATTTTTTATTTTTATTTTTTTTTTTTATCGAAATGCATGAGCTTTTAAACCTTCTCTCGTAAATCGGTCGGTACTCGCGGTACGATTTTTTTTCTCATCCGATTATTTTATTTCTCGCGCGTTCATTTCAAGCTAAACCTTATACGTTTTCTATATAACGATTACAAGATATTTAAAATATTTTGAAATAAATAATCGAATACATATATTATAGTAAAATAGTAATTTCATTTATCCGTCTTATTTTCTTCTTCTTTTTTTTTTTTTTTTTTTTTTTTTTTTTACAAAAAGGACAGATCATAAAGAAATATAAATCAGGATAAATACGATGTAATAACAATGAGAAAAAAGAATAGAAAAATTATACAACGAGCAAAGAAAAGGAACAAGATAAAAAAATTCAGAAAGGATTGAAAATGTCTTGGATGCGGTTACGCTCGTTATCCTTGAGATTTATTCAAGATAAAATAGGAAAATAGTGCGATAGTGATGGTGTTAGTGGTGGTGATGGTGGTGGTAGTGGTGATGGTATTTCGAGACTCGCTTCGTGGGATGCAAGCCTCGACGGAAACGAATCGATCTACCGGTTTTGCGGCGAAACTGTCGCTGTCTGTTTTGTTTTCATCGTTAACGTTGTTGTAACGTTACATTGTGGTTGTTTTGTTATTATTGTCGTTGTTGTTACATTCTTCCGTTGTTATTATTGGTCCTATCGCAGAGACGTTTTCGTTTTAGAAAGAAGCTGGGAAAAGGTGGAAAAGAGAGAGAGAGAGAGAGAGAGAGAGAGAGAGAGAGAATATCGACTTTTGAACTTTGGATATAAAGCTCGAGTAAAGAAAGAGGAGAAGAGTACTCTCTCGAATATATTCGATGCGCTTTTCGCGTGGCTATGTGAGGGATGTTACAGGGTAGGAAGAAGAGGGTAGTTCGATCGATAAATGGACATTAATCACGTAAGATTAATGGCATGACGTTTTCGACGAATTTATGCTGGATAACGCATTTACCCGTTTGCCGACGACGAGTTCGCTGGTATTATCTCTTGGAGAGATGTATGTGTATGACTCTCTCTTCCTCTCTCTCTCTCTCTCTCTCTCTTTCTCTTCCCCTTCCTCCCCCTCTCTCTTCCTCTCTTTACGCGTAGGGGATGGTAGTAGTATTGGTGGTAGTGGTGGCGGCGTCGGTGGTTCGATCGAATCGATAATTGGCGGAAAGTGAGCCCCGGGTATATCGACACCCACGACTGTTCATTAAGTATTTATTACATATCGAGTAGGTCGCATTGTTCTCGTGCTCTCTCCTCTATTTATTGTTACCATCGTATGCACATATAACGTGCATATCTATGTGCGTACTTATGTACAATGCGCTCGCGCGCTCGCACGTATTATATCGTGGTTAAATCTGTGGAATCATAATCTCTTAATAATGACACTATTTCCTGATAACAGGTGGTTCAAGAGAAACACTGAGAATCTTTATGAAGTATGTCCCCTTTCAGGTGAATAAATTTTATGTTTCCTTCACTACCATATTTTAATTACATTCAATTGACGATGCTCAGAATATATAGAATGTCTTTAATTCCATAAAAAATGTGACACGTAACCTTAAATATTTTAATCATTTTCTTTTATTTTTAGAAGAAGATGGTGACTT